CCATCCATCCATCCATCCATCCATCCATCCATCCATCCAATCCATACAGAGTTCTACTCTGTACCATGTACTGTGATAAATCCTTGGGATAGACAATTGAGTAAGGCATCACCCCAGTCTAAGGAGCTCAAAGCCTCCAGGAGGAGACAGGTAAGTAAATCAAATATTTTAATTCAGTGTGATAAGTGTGTTAGGTGGTCTTACACACACACACACACACATTTTTGTTATTAAATTATTAGTATACTATTAAAATACTAATAACAGTATTATATGCTATTGTAAAATTATAATATTAAAATATATTAGTAAAATATGTTGGGTGCAAAAGATATTTTAAGTTATTTCTTCAATTAAAAGAAGATAAATTTGAAAGAACCATAGGGGGAAAGTTTGGAAACTGTTTCCCTCTCAGATATTGAGTAGATTTGACACAATTTTTGATGACCAAGCTTTTCAACTTACATCATCACAGTGACACAACTTACATTTTTGGACACTCCCCACCCCCAGCTGATTCTTAATCACTCCCTTACATCGTATTCAGTTACTAGCTGCATGCTGATGACTCCAAAGCAGTATTTCCCTGCCTGATTTCCCTGACAAACTTTAAAGATGTATTTACAACTGCCTGCCAGACTTGGCATCCTGGATATATCCCATACATTTCAAAATCTGTGTTTCCTGAATGGAACTTTTTTCTGGTTGCTCTCAAAGTTGTTTCTTTCTCTGTTTAATAGTCTCACTGTCCATTCATATTCCCAGTCCAAAAACTGGGTGTCCTTATGCCTAATCCTCTGCTAGCCATCAGCCTAGACAGCCTTAGAAATATGTTAGAAATATCTCTAATTCAGAGCCTCCTCCCCATCCCTACCAATACTATCTCAGCTCAAGTTCTCACATCTTCACCTAGATTAGTGCAGCCCTCTTGTAGCCAGCCTCCCTACATGTCATTTCTTCCATGTCCCCAGGGTTCATACCTGTCTTCCTCGCTCCTGCCCTCCGTCCGTCCCTCCCTTCCCCCATTCCTCCTTCCTCCTTCCATCTGTGCCTCCGCGAATGCTACCATTGCTTCCCCTTTGCCAACAGAATGAAGTACAAACACTTCACACATGGTACATGGGGACCTTCCTAACTAGCTTTAAGTGACTTTCTAGCATCTCTCACCACTCTCTACAGATGTATCCACACAGTAGTTATACTTAATTATTTACTGTTCCCTAAAGATTCATGACTGTGCACATGCTGTGCCATCTACTTGGATTCCCGTCCTTACATCTCCTCCTAGAAAATTCATTCTTCAAACCTAGCTAAAAGGCTGCTTCCTCTATGAACTCTTTCCTTTTCCCCTCAGCATATTTAATCATTCTTTCTGTTCCGTTGTTAATTCTTATAGACATCTTGAATTCTGTTCTTATTAGACTGCAATGTAATTTTCTTTTCATATGTCTGGTTAGTCTACTAGATGTACAGTTCTTGAGTTGAGACTTAGTGTCTTAATCATGTATTTGTTTGGTCAGTGTACAGCTGATCATTAGTAAGTATGTTTTCTATGTCCATTTAAACTGCAGATTAGACACAGTTGAAAAGAGAATTAGCCATGGAAGACACATCTGAAGAAATTACCCCAAATGCACTATAGAGAGATAGGAGCTAGAGAAATAAAGATGAAGAGGTTGAAATAGAGAAGACAGAATGAGAAATTCCAACATATATTGAATAGAAATCCTGTTATGGATTCTGGGTTATGAAAATAAAAGAGAGAGGAAGGGAGAGAAGGAGAGAGGGGAGGGAGGGGAGAAGGGACGGGGAGAGAGAGAGGGAGACCTAGAAAAAGAAAAGAGCCAATGTCTGAG